CCCCCCCCCCCCCCCCCCCCCCCGCTTTTGTTCCAATTCTCATGTGATATCTCCCACGATCAGCTATGTTGCCGAGTTCAGCAGGCGGCGTTCGGCATGGCACACCTCCCGCAAGGGGCGCAAGGAGGCCATGGTTTACGGGTCGGCCTTGTTCGTTGCAGTGTTGATCATCGACAACCTGCTGAAGATGGTGTAGCCACAGCATAGCTAGCGCGGGCTTTGGCGCTTGAGGGAGATTCAATCGGCCTGGTGATTAGCTGGCCAAAAGTCCCTCTGGACGGACATTCCTTGGAATACCCAGCAGTAGTGGCATAAGGCGTGCATGCTGCTGTCCACCGAGAACCCGTCGAAGGCCCTGCCGAAGGCGGTGTCGCCAGCTTTGGGTGAAGAGAACATGGTGCAGTCAAGGCTCCGATATATGAAGGCACGTAGGGGGCTCCAATAGAAAAAGAGGGTCGAATCGGTTTGTCACGGACTCGACCCGCTATCGTTGCTTACCCTCGTATTCGGGTGCAAGAGGGGGCCTCCGGTATAAGAGGGTCGAGGACCGTTGTCACACCACACTCGTATGGTGGAGCCACGACCGTAAGCACTCTGGCAGGATGACAGGCAGGTTGGCGTTCGGGGGTGTTGGCGAGGGCGGACCGTCGCGCACATAAGGACGAGCCTTAGGGGGAAGGGCGGTTGGTGCGTTGAGTTCCTTGGAGTGAACGTTCAAAGTACCTAGGATTCCTTAAAGTAACCTTCAGATGGCGCCATTTTCTTTTTGGCCATGCTTGCACAGGTACATTGTGTCCACCCCACCGAAGAGGTTCGTTTTCGCTCAATCGATTTGTTGCCAGGTGACAAGAAGAAAGAGCGTGTGCTCTCTCGGTGATACGTACCGCTGCAACAGCGCTAGGTCTGCACACAGGCCTGTGCGTTGCCGATGAACCTGAAGAATATATCCCTTCCCCAGAACTACCCGCCTTTCGCGACGGCAGTCTCTTTCATTGAGACCCTTTCCAGTCGCTCGTAGCCGCGGCACTTATACGTCAAGACCCTACGGTTGAATATGAGATCTTCAACAGGCTCGAAGATGCCTTATGGAGCCTCCTGTAATTCGTGACTTCACCATCTTATTGGTTTACCGTGTAACTTGTTCAAAATACCTTCAACCCTGTGTGCGAAATACGGAACATGAATGCTGCTAGATACAATTTTCCAGGAGTACCAACTTGCGAATGCACCGACTATTGCTGTGTCCATGAATGAAGAAGGTAGGGTTTCCCATCTGAAAGTAGCCAGGAATCACGCGCGTGGCTTACGATCGGTTGGACAAATCCGGCAGTCAGAAACCAGCACACGGCAAATCTAATAATGTATCACAGGCTTTGCTGTGTCAAACACATCACCATCATCAAATTGGTCTGTATATTTATCAAACGAAGGTACGTCAGTTTTGTTCCCTTGTTCTTCCCTCTTCTTGACGCATACCTTACCGAGCTAGGGCGGTTTCACAGGACATCTTCAACGGGAGATGTTTCGTGTAAGAGTCGTATCCTGGAAGAATGAAAGTGGTGGCTTTGGCTTTGTTGTGCAAGTATGCATAACAGCAATACACGGTACTCGATTTGATCACAAACATGAAATTGCAAACATGCATCTACACGTGTACACCGTCGTTTCGCAATGATGCAGAGCCGTGCAAAGGAGCTAGTGGACAAAAGCGGGGGCGTCCGGCTGTCTGAGTGGGTGCAGGCGTCGGGCGGAATCGAGACGAAGACCGGGGTAGAGCCCTTCGCCGAAGATCAGCAAGATCAATCACATGTCATGCCATGGGCCCCATGCCATGATGCCACATGCACCCCCACATGGTATCAATACATACCCCACCCAATATTCTGAATCACGGACCCCCCATCGTGCTGCTGCAGGCTGCTGGCGAGATCAAGACAAGAAGAGAGAACAAGAAGCGAGGGGAGGAGAGACGAACGGTTTGCTACCAACATGGCGGGCAAAGGCGGCATGTGGGTATTCTACTTCCTTCAGGGCGAGGACGGAGACTCTGTGGAGAACCCAAACGCTTTCAATGTGAGACAGATAAGGGTGCATAGTTTCCCCGATCTGCTGGGTGTAGGTCCACCTTCTCAACGAATTAATATTGCGTCAACTACGAAGCAGCGCACGCGTTGAGTTTCTACCTCTCGCTTTCCCTCGACCTAACCCTGGAATATGTCTCATGTGTCATGACCGTCGCTACGGAGGCTGAGCTGGGGGCGCAGTGTGCCCTCTCTCTGTCAATATGTTCTTTGGAGTTGCGCCGCCAAGCAACAGTGCCCTCTGTCATCAATCACACGTATCAGGGCTTTCCAAGAAGGGATGAGAGACAGAGAGCAAGCTGCATCGTGACCCGCGAGCAAGTGGCATTGAGGAGGAGTGAAGCTTCGGGGAACATATGCAACCCTGGATAGAGCATCAAACAGTTGCTTGTACGCGGGTTGTATACCTAATACGTCAAGTCCCTAACAGTAGCCGACCTTTTGTGCGGCACTCAATGGGACATCAACAGCTCCATTGTTCCACATTCTTTCCATCCCAACCACAACAGATGTTTTCAGCAGTGCGGTCTGTCCGTCAGCAGCAGCAATTTTTTTTAACTCTAGATCCGCCACGAGACAAGGGAAGCCGCAACCCGTTCAACGGTCACTTCCCTTCTCCAAACCCGACGGGTACAAGGCGTCTCCCGCAACGTACTCCGACATGACAAGCTATTACCTCATCCGTCTCTCGCTCCACACATGAAATCTGGCGGTGCGGAGAAAAGTCGGAAAATTCTGGGTTTGCGTGACACGTGAAAGCTCTGCTTTGGCCATCTGGGCCGTTTCATTAGATATTCCTGAAGATATTTCAATTAGGTTTAATAAGAAACTTTTTCCTTGATGTCAGGCGTAGAATCCTGCTGCTTGTGTCTGAAATTGTAGGTCTCTTTGCAAATGCATAGAGGCAACACATTGGAGCATCTTTGCATACGACCAGCTGCATACGACATGTGCGGCAGACTTTGGCGTCTCGGCCCCCCTCACAAGGCCAACTAGCCCATGTGTTGATTACGATACAGAAGTCTGATGCAGATAGCCATGGGGTAATATTGTACATATGCATACCGCGGCCTTTTTCGAAACTCCGTGGCGCGACCACATGCACTATGAATGGTCCATACACCGCACACGGCAGCAGTCGGTCAGCATGTTCGACGAGGGTGTATTATGAAGTTCATATACCAGTAGGTAAGGACGGTGGGTGCATATCGAAGCCGAGTAAACGGTAGATGTTCGATCGACTGTTGGCCTGTCACATATATCACGTGGCATGTGATTGCCAGACTATGCCTGATTTTCGCCTTCTTGCCTGGTACAACCGCCCGTACAAGAGATAACCGGTACCACTGCCGTGCAAGCATTGGGAAATTCAGGTCTGCTGGCAGCAACGGCACTGTTGCGTGTGTAGTGCTGTGTACATGCACGTGTACACAACGTTTTGGTGGTTTGTATTAGTGTGTCCCCGTCGTAAATAGTCGATGGCCCTCCCCCTCCTTCGTCCGTGCGAAAAATTCGTCGTAAAGTTTCGTCGCAGTTTGCTTTTGTGCTTCCCTGTCGTGTTGTAGTGGTGCCCTTCCCTCATCGTCCGTACGACTTTTTTTGTGGGTCTGTGCGTTGTGTGGTTTGTTTGTATGCTTCCCTGTCGTAATCGATGCCCTTCCCTTCCCTTCCCTCCCCTTCCTCGTCCTTCCGTCCGGAAAACAGATAATGGGCGCCGTGAGCGAGGTTCGCCTGGGCCAATTTCTTCAGGCGTTTCCCCTCAGGGGACACGGGGGCCAATATCACTTCCGCTTCCGGGCGCCGGACCGCGTGTCGGGCTACTGCTGGATGGTGAGAATCCGAGGAGCGCCAAGGAGGGAGGGGGGGAGGGGGCAGGAGAATGTATATGAACAGCTGCTCGATTCGGCGATAATGTGAAGGGGTCAGGGGGGAGATACGAGAGCGATTCAACCCTCAACGCGGTTGAACGAGTAATTTGTACGGAGGGGGTTCCGCAGGAGGGTTGTGGGGGGCACTTCCCAGGGAGACGGGGGTTAAGCCTTTTTGCGTAGCCACCCTCCCCCGGCCGTCTCTAGTGGAGCGTGGGTGACCGGGAGAGACATGGCCGGGCGACCAGTACACGGAAAACAATCACATGAAGAAGTCGCAACGTGCCAGAGAAAGCGCAGGACTGACAGATCTTGAAAGGAGGGGAAAGGAGGAAGTGGACAGAGTAATTTGGACAGAGGAGGGTTCGCGGAGAAATACCGGGGGGCATTTCCCAGGGAGACGGAGGTTAAACCTTCTGTGTAACCATCCTCCCCCGGCCCCCTCGAGTAGGGCGTGGGTGAACGGGAGAGACATGGATAGCGACCAGTACACGGGGAGTGTTTAGATCGAGAGTCACAACGTGCCATAGAAAGGTTAGGGCGGACAGATCTTGAAAGGAGGGGAAAGGAGGAAGCGTGGTCGGTACGATTCGCCGTTACGTGTCCGTACTCCTTTTGATTGGCTGACTGGAGCACCACCCCAGAGCCAAGACCGGCAAAAGGGCAGACACGCGGGGTGTTGTTCGTTTTGCGCAAGTGTGTTGCAACCAACCGCACGGCCGACGCAGCAGCAGGAGGAATGGCAGCGATATCTCGAATTCTCCTAATGGTGCTCTTTCATCCCCTGGCGGTGGCGCCGTCGCCCTGAGCGTGCTGTGTGTTTCTTGCGGCCTACTTGGGGGCGAGGAAACACAAGATGCCAGCCCCCGTTCTAGGAATGGACGGGCGTCAACCTCAGTCGCTGTCTAGCGCTACATGTACCTAGACATTTAATCTTTTAAAAGAAAAATTGCCGTTTTTACCTGGGAGAGAGGAAATGCTCATGAAACTAGCCTCCGAATGCTTTTGTGCTGGTTGAAAAGCACATTTCATGTGCACATATTCGTTTCTTCTTCCTGGTCTTGTGGTTGACATCACTGACCTCCACGCAGGCAACGAGCCCAAAAAAGCGCGCTTGGGATATGGAACTCACCGACGGTTTCGAGGTCAAAATGCCATGACCCTGCCCCCCCCCCCCCCCCCCCCCCCCCCCCCCNCCCCCCCCCCTTCCCAACAGGATGTGAGCGACCCATCGGCGGTGCTCCCCCGCTACGGCAACGTCATCTGCGCGAAGGCCCTCCGGTTAGATTGCCTCCCGAAGCCGCGATCATCACGCCTCAGGAGAAAGGCGCCGTATGCGGCGGAGGCGGCAACGATTTCGGGCAACGATCAGTGGAGGGCGAGCGGCGGTGCGAGCTACCGGTTCACGGAAGAGGCACATCGGCGGCGTTCGGCGCAGGTGCGGGCGGGCGTTTAGACGCCGCCGGTGGTTTCGGGAGTCTTCACTGCACGCCGTACATGTAGTTCGACGAGAGCTCGCACGGGGGTTACATAGACGACGCAAGTAGAGAGAGCGCATGAAGGAAAGGGTCAGATTGAGATTGAGCACACGCAAGCATGCCGCTTAGGGCTGCGCAAGAAATAATCGAAGCAAAATTGGGCGAATTTGGTTTGTGGAGGATCACACCCTCGCAACCCATACTCCTTCTGCATGAATGTCTTTGGTAACACCCATGTAGTGCATGTGCAACACATAAGCTTGTTGTCGAAGTCTCGAGCCCCCCTCCCGCAGCTGTCATGCGTATGCAAGGAAGAAGTAGGCACAAGATATACCGGCAGAATGCATCGAACCCTCCATGTGGCTCACCGAATACCTCACGG